TTAGAGCTGTCAGCACAACATGCCTACTGGTCTCTGCTTGCCTGAAGGCGGAAGGAGGGGAAGGTTAGACTTGTTGTAGCTGTCAGACTGTTCTACTTGCGTTATTATTATTTTATTTGCAGTATCTGGTCTTGAAGGAATTATGAGCATATTAGAGACCATTCAGGAGCGAGGCTAACTGACGCACTTGTGTATTTTCAAAGCATGAGCTATATGTTTTTCTAAAGGGGGGCAGAGAGAGAGAGAGAGAGAATGACAAACAGAGGCTGAAACGGACAGCAAGTTACAGGGCCGCCCGACTTTTAACGCTGCCGCTCAGAAGATTAGCCTATCACTCGTCAACATGGTGTTGCCTTACTCAATTAGCCACAACTCAAACTCTGTGTTTTAAATAACTGCAACATTCCTATCATGCCCACACAGTAGAGGTAATGGAGAACTGCCTTGAGAGGACATCTGCCCCTGCTCCCATTAAGACAGCCCATGCTGCTGTCTCACCGAGGCATTCTGGGAGACGAGAATGAAGATAAGATGGTGTAAGGTGAGGAGAAAGCGGATGAAGAAAGATATCATGCCATACCGAATGGCACTTTGAGTGTCACTCCATGGCAAGAACTGGCATCAGCTGTGTCTCCCAGAAATGGACACATTTATATTCTCTTTCTCTCACTCTCCCCCTCTCACACTCTTATGGTCTGCGTTAGCCTTCATAAAATATTCATGTTGGTTGTGCTCAGTGCCATAATTGCCATCTCAGCTTCTGAATAATTGATGGCTGGTGCCGTTGACTTGGTCTCATTTACTGAGAGTGTGGGTAATACCATACTCGCACATGCCACGTGCTCTAATGCCATGCTGCTGCAGTTAGTGCTGACTCCAGATCAGCCGCTCTCTCTGCACACCGCTATCATTCATCTGAAACCACCCTCACAGCTAGTCAAATGCATTTAAATCAATAGCGCTAGTGACTTAGGCTACAAGTATCACTGCAAACACTGGGGGGGCAATTTGATTTCGTTTGATGTGCTTTTAGGAGTGACTCGAACTCAATGAGAGGCTGCAGAGACTTTCCCAAATGCTCTTTCGTTTATTAAAGTGCATTTTTCTGTGATCGTTGCATTTTGAGTGGGTGTCTGATTGGAAAGAGCACTTTCCCATGTGGATGTTTTGTATTTAATTTGACGTCGAGCGAAACTGGCTTTATTTTTGTGAATCATTCCTCGGCTGAGATTTGAGGAGAATAACGCAAACGGCTTAACGGCTGAGTGTCCAAGTTGGGCGACCCTGCAGGAGAGTTAATTAACAGGCCATAGCTGAGCAGACAGATGCGACCCCTAGACAGACCGAGGTCAAAGGTCAATTTGTTGAGGATTACATTAACCCTGCCTACACCAACCCCAACCCCATCACCAATCGACTGCTGCTTTAATTCATTGCTCTCCTTCTTTTTCGGCCTGACATTCACTCTTACCCCTCTTCACGGCTTGGGTAAGCTGCAAACACCCATTAGTGCACTGCTAAGTGAACTTTACAGGCTATTTGACTCACTGTGTTCAGTCCGAAGGGCACTGCAAAATGCACAGGAAACAATAGTATATCACATCACAGTAAGTGTAGAGAAAAAATTCCAAGAAGTCACTGCAAACCATCTGAATATCACAGAAAAATTTGTTAAAAATAAACACAGGGAGGAGGTGAATTATTCACAGCTGCTTGTGGGTATAAAGCACACAAGATGTGACCATTACAATATTATCATCATAGCCATGGGTCAAGAAGCAGTTAAAAAGACACACACATTTTTAAATAAAATCACACAAGTTATTTTTATATTATATATCACAGCCATCATTTATTGTAAATGTTTGGCTTTTTGATCATAAAAATTATATTAATTTAAAGAAATAAAATATTCAAATTAAAATCTGAATATAAATATTAAATAATCTGAACTGTTTTCAACACTGATAAAAGGAATGTTCCTTTAACAGCAAATCAGCATATTAGAATGATTTCTGAAGGATTATGTGACACTGAAGACTAGAGTAATGGATGCTGAAAATTCAGCTTTGAAATCATGGAAATAAAATATATTTAAAAATGTAAAATAAAGATAAAATAAAAATAAAAATCACAGGCTCCAAACTTTAGAATGGTAATGTAGATGTATATCTGTGCGATGTGTCTCATGTGTTTGATGACACTGCAGCATTCCCAAATGGGGCATTTTCTCAAGTGAAGTGAACTTCAACAGATTTATCCCGCTCAGTGTGTATAGCGAGCAATGAACACTGCACAGAACCCCTGTGAATCAGAACGCAGCTACTCTCTCATTCTTCCACGTCGTCATCTGTACTATTTCCATCTCAGTTACAGTTTCATTAGCAGCCGGTTTGATGTGCCTAAAAGTACAATGTAAGAGTTATTAAGCAGAGCAGTATGTATGACAGGTCAGGCTCTGTGCTGTGACTTAAACTCATCCTACCAATCAGACACTTGGAGCGTTGCCCTCTTCCTCATGCTGACTGTGGTAATAGCCCTCTCTAATTGAGGTGCTCTTAGCCACACCATTTGCAACGTACCGTCCAATCTCTTCTAAAAGCATAAGGTCCCTGTCCGAAGTGCCCTATGGAGGGGACAGTGCGCACTTTATTAAACATTACATGTGTGATTACATGTCCCCTCCCTGTTCGGCAGGCATCGGAGTACTCTCGCTATTGCTAATGGAGCTACAGGGTCAACAAAGTCAAACTATACCCACATTACACATGTGGATGAGGGCTCTAAAAACTATGAGTGAGTGTTTATGTGAACGTGGCGTGCGGTTAGGAGACCAGAAGGAAAAATCCATATCGTGGAGGGAAAGAAAGACAAAGGATGTCTTCCTAAAGTGAGGGCACCCAGGTTTTTGCGGGGGATTTAGGAGGACTATGAGAGCATGATGTCAGTGATGGGGTTAAGCCCAGACTTATCTCCACACAAAGCAGGAAAGAGAGTAAGAGAAGGAAAGCGAGAGCGTGGAAGAATAAGGGACAGGTCAGGAGCGCTCAGACAGGGTCAGTGGCAGGAGGGAATCAGTGGGGAAGAAAGCCGCGGCTTAGAGCTCTTAAATGATATTATAGACGAGGCCTGTAGCGCTAATCTGTTTACCCAAACAACACAGTGGATAACACACACAAACATGTTTTTATCAATGCACACACACTGAGCTGCAAAATGCAAGATGTGATCTATATGCGCAGTGCTATGCATGATATCATATTTGAAATATATACACACACATACAGTGTGAATTTTCCATCTGACATGCTACAAGGCACAAAGGCATGAGAAAGGGATGAATGGATTGACGCACATGGATGTGAAATGGTGTACAGTAGATTAAAGAGCAAAGGATGAGACCTGGACCGCTTATCCTAGAGGAATCACAGCCAGCACAAACAGACTATGCATCTTACATTCCTTCAGCACTAACAAGCCAGCTGCACACACACACACACACAAACACACACACACATACACACATTTGTTTTCATATCGTGGTGGAGGCTTTCCATTGACTTCTGTTGATTTTATAATAAGCTACTACAGACTGGCCTAAACCCAAACTTTAACTCTGACTAAACTTTATGTAGCCTATAAAAAAGGCTATTTTTTTTTTTACTTTAAAGACAGCCCTGTGTGTTTAGTTACATATGTATGTATCTAAAACAATGAAAATTACCAAATTATTTCTCATTAGTGTAGCTCATGAAAGGAAGATATGTTATTATGTGTGCAATTTTTTTTTCTGTAGAAGTGAGCTAAATCTGACAAAACCACCATCTGGTGAAATCAATTATTTTCATGATCACACACACACACACACACACACACAAACACACACACACATACACACATTTGTTTTCATATCATGGTGGAGGCTTTCCATTGACTTCTGTTGATTTTATAATAAGCTACTACAGACTGGCCTAAACCCAAACTTTAACTCTGACTAAACTTTATGTAGCCTATAAAAAAGGCTATTTTATATATATATATATATTTGAAAATAAAAAAAAAATTCTGTTATGGCTTGACTGTGAGGTTAGAAATCTAATGTAAAATATAAAAACATTAGACTTCTATAGTATGTCCCGCTTTTGACAGCTCAGTAAAAGTTCTTAGAAGTTGCCTTCACTGAGTGTGCATTTGTGTGAGTAGTGACAGACAGCAGATATAATAGTGGATGGATGCTGCAGACACACGTTGGTTCTCAACTATACCAGTGCAGTGAACCAGAAAGCCATGAATGAAGAAAAAAGAGAGAAACCCTGCTGTGCTAATTAATATAGTAGATTTCAGACCACAGAGAAGGAGGAAAAACACACTGAATCACAGCCATACCTTTTTTTGCCAGCCCACTGGATTCAGCATAAAAAATCACTGTTCTTAAAACCCATAAATAATAAACACTTACAAATCATTTGACACACATTATTAATTTGATTGATGAATGGCACAGTAATATTCACAATAGTGGATGTTCCCCTGGGAAATTTAGTAGGTGTGTCTTGCTGCTGAATTTATACATCTCTGAATAATAGCTGATAAGGATTCTACTATGGTTCCTTTATGAGGAAATCTCGCTGGATTTGTGACTATTGTGAGTCTAATTGCGCTTTGGAGTGACCTCAACATCACACTTCGATCTCTCTTGATCTTTCTCCTGCTTTCTTCTCCTCTGACTGACCTGTTTATGGGTTCTCGACAGATGATCTGTGCTTCATTTTTAAGACCAGTGTGTGCGTGTGAATAAACGTGGAGCTGTGACCTTATAGTATGAATGCACAGAATAGTAAAAGTCTATACAGAAAAGTATGTTAACAACAAATATTAGATCTAATGCTGTCAATGTCAGTACCACAAACACTGAAATCTTTACCTCATTCTCACACCACAGTCTAGATTAAAACAAAACAGACTTGCCTCATAAATTCTGTTATTCTGTGTTTTTCCAGGTTTTTCCTGAAATTCTTCCTCAAATGCAACCAGAACTGCCTAAAGAATGCAGGGAACCCACGAGACATGCGGCGATTTCAGGTAGGACCACATTCGAAAAACACACTGAATCACAGCCATACCTTTTTTTGCCAGCCCACTGGATTCAGCATAAAAAATCACTGTTCTTAAAACCCATAAATAATAAACACTTACAAATCATTTGACACACATTATTAATTTGATTGATGAATGGCACAGTAATATTCACAATAGTGGATGTTCCCCTGGGAAATTTAGTAGGTGTGTCTTGCTGCTGAATTTATACATCTCTGAATAATAGCTGATAAGGATTCTACTATGGTTCCTTTATGAGGAAATCTCGCTGGATTTGTGACTATTGTGAGTCTAATTGCGCTTTGGAGTGACCTCAACATCACACTTCGATCTCTCTTGATCTTTCTCCTGCTTTCTTCTCCTCTGACTGACCTGTTTATGGGTTCTCGACAGATGATCTGTGCTTCATTTTTAAGACCAGTGAAATAAACGTGTGAATAAACGTGGAGCTGTGACCTTATAGTATGAATGCACAGAATAGTAAAAGTCTATACAGAAAAGTATGTTAACAACAAATATTAGATCTAATGCTGTCAATGTCAGTACCACAAACACTGAAATCTTTACCTCATTCTCACACCACAGTCTAGATTAAAACAAAACAGACTTGCCTCATAAATTCTGTTATTCTGTGTTTTTCCAGGTTTTTCCTGAAATTCTTCCTCAAATGCAACCAGAACTGCCTAAAGAATGCAGGGAACCCACGAGACATGCGGCGATTTCAGGTAGGACCACATTCAACCAAATTAAAGTGGCAAAATTGCAATTTTAACCATGTATGTTAGTGGATAAGCTGCACTTGCATTGCTTGCTGCGTGAAATGGCAACACTATAAAAATGTCCATTAATAACATTAAAATCATTATTATATTAAATAATACTCAACAAATAAGTAGTTAATGAACAATTAAATAGTTTGAAATTACATAAAATGTAATATATTTCAGAGATATCAATTGATTAACTTTTTTAAATGAACTAATTACATAATACATGGCGATTAATCAGCTTTAAATACAATAAATCACTTTTATCAATATCTGAAATACATTCAATATTTAAATAATATTTAAAACACCTTAAATTAAGATAAGCATTGAAATCAGTGAATATATATATTACGAAACATGACCCTTATAAATTCTGTTTTTCAATTGACAATCCACAAAAAATGTATTTCACTAAAAATGTATGAATGGTTGACCAATGAAAGGTTTTCTTAACAGATAAAGTGCGAGTACTAGAGAATATATAAAGAGATATGGATGTAGAGAAGAGAGAGAAAAAGAAAGCTTTGAGCGAATGAAGTGGCTGCCCAGAACAGGGATAATGTAAGCGATGTTTGCCAAGTCTCATCAAGCCTCTTCCTCTCTTGAGATTGAGAGACCTCTCAAAGCCTGAGAGCCATTTAAATCAAGAGGCTCCTCAGTTGCTGTGGGACACTTCTAGTCTACATTTTCAGCTCTGTGAGAGCTGTTAGCTGCTGTCATTGTTCCAGGCTCTCTGGTGAAATGTGCCTGTTCGTCAATTTATCAGTCAGCAGTTACTTACAGACATACCGTGTGTATGTGCTGCCCCAACACTTCAGCTGTTTGTTTGAGCTACGTATTAATTTGTATACAAGTATACATACAGAGTATGTCTTTGCGGGTCAAGTGAAGTACAGTTGGCATTTGTCTCTTGCAGGTGGTGGTGTCTACGACGGTGAGCGTGGATGGACACGTCCTGGCTGTGTCTGATAACATGTTTGTTCACAATAACTCTAAACATGGACGCAGAGCTCGCAGGCTGGACCCATCTGAAGGCAATCCATCATACCTGGAACACGGTGAGTGTACTCACTGTATCTGTTTACATGCAGTTTGTTGAGAAATAAAGAACACACGTGTTTCATATTGATATACACAAACTCTTTATATACATTTTGTTTTCGTGTAGTGACAGAAAAAATGAGACAAATGGAATAAAAGACGTAGTGTAATGTAGTGCAACCCAATGTAAAATTTCCTTCATTATACTTTCCCTCACAACCAACTCTTTTATTTGCACACAGCTATGTAGTTTCATGGTTTGGCTTCATGAGCACAGATGGTTGCCCATCATGGCTAGCGATGTACTCTTCCCTTACGTCAACTTATAACTTACAGACACAGCTTAAAGCTGAAGTGTGCCATTTCTAACCAACTAACTGTCACCAAACGGTATTGCAAAAATAGTGATTTCAGGTTTCCTGAACCCTCCCTCATTTTCAATTGTCTTTATAGTCTTGTATGATCAGGACAAAACAAGTATAATAGTGTTACAAACCCACAATGTTCACTGTTAACTTATTTATAGTTGTCTCAGCATATGAAGGGGATATGAAAAAAAAGCTTTAAAATAGCAGATATGACCTAGTGGGTATAACAAGTCAGGGAATGTTGAACAGTGGCAACAGGCAAGTTCACATGCAACAAATTACAAATGCAACAGGGTCAGTCCCACTGGAAAAACCTGGAGTGATTTGCTAATTGAAACAATCGTAATACACTGTAAAAGCTATTATTTTGAGCATTATTTTTTGTCTTATTGTCCATTACACTTACATAAATATCTGGGATGGGATAAATGCAGAGCACTAATTCTGAGTATGGGTCACTTCACTTTCATATGCAATTTTACTTAATAAATGTATCTTGCTTTAAGGATATTTAGATAATTCTATTGGAAAGCAAGACAAAAATACTGATTAAAGGTGCAGTCACATTTACCATTGTTCAAAACATTTTTGCTGTAATTTCGACAGGAATCTGTCCAATTGGGAATTTTATGTGAGGTGAAATATTTCCCCACACAGATTTCGCATCGGGTTCAGTTGGTCATGCTGAGTTTGCCATGTTGAGTAACAGAAAGCTGCTTCATTAAAGTGACTTCTGTGTGAGCTGTGCTTCATACGTCACTAATTACTGACAATGAACAATGGTCACAAAATCTTGTGCCAGGACCTTAAGAAAAATGTTTTTTTTTTTCAGTATAACTCATGAATTTGAACTTGAAACCTTTCATCCAGCCCAGAGCTTTAATCACTACAGTATCTCACACTACCCTTCCAGACTACTTTCAACTAGTTTGCACGCTTTATTATTTAATGATCCAGGGTGCAGTTGAGCACAGACAAAACTCTTGACTCTCCACTGGATGAAAGACAACTGTGACCATTTAATCAACTCACAATGAAGGAATTTTATGTGAGGTGAAATATTTCCCCACACAGATTTCGCATCGGGTTCAGTTGGTCATGCTGAGTTTGCCATGTTGAGTAACAGAAAGCTGCTTCATTAAAGTGACTTCTGTGTGAGCTGTGCTTCATACGTCACTAATTACTGACAATGGACAATGGTCACAAAATCTTGTGCCAGGACCTTAAGAAAAATTATTTTTTTTTTCAGTATAACTCATGAATTTGAACTTGAAACCTTTCATCCAGCCCAGAGCTTTAATCACTACAGTATCTCACACTACCCTTCCAGACTACTTTCAACTAGTTTGCACGCTTTATTATTTAATGATCCAGGGTGCAGTTGAGCACAGACAAAACTCTTGACTCTCCACTGGATGAAAGACAACTGTGACCATTTAATCAACTCACAATGACTCAGAGTCAGCACGTCTATTCTGCTGCTGTCATGTTTTAATGTCACTAACACTACCAAATATTAAAGGTGGTTTGAGCTAACCTGGCTTTCATTTTACTAACAAACAGCATACCAACACTAGCTGTGCAGTAAAGCACCAACAATGCGCCAGGGCTAAGAAAAGAGCAGTGAATGCAGCATTCCCCAAGTGACCTGTTCTCTTTAGGTTTGAACATGTGTCTTATGAGACCTCTAAGGCTTAAGCCCCGAGCATTTATTTTCTGAATGGCATGTGGCTTTATCTGCTGTCCTCTTCTAGTGTTGCAGGTTATGGTGCGGCCCTCCTAAATCTGTCTAATAACATGTGGACATGATTTGAGCACTGATTTGATCCTCAGCCGCAATCAAATCCAATAATTTTCTCATTTATGTTTGGGATGATTCTAGAGAAGAACGTATTTTTCAGTTGGACTGTTAACCTCTACTTATGATGAGAAACTGAGGATTTGAATGATGATGATTTGATGATGATGATGATGGTGATGATGATTAAGTTCTCTCTATTCTCCTGGGGACGTCTTCAGTATTTAAGCACAGTTTCCACTGCACAGAGAAAATTAAAAAAGTTGGTTTTCTAAAGCCTGCACAAATTTGAAAATATGTGGAGATTTATTATTTTTCTTTCCTTCTCTTTTTTCCAAAAGAAAGTATAGGATAATTCCAGAGACAGACAGGCTTATATTGTAATTCCTCATTATGTCTAATATAAAACCCTGACATGCACATATAAATATATTTTTCTTGGAGGGAAATGCAGAAACTCCAATGTCAGAGCTCCAAAATTCAATACAGAGTTATTGTAGTAACTAAATTCCACTTGAAATTGAAACACCTGTCATTCACTGTGTGCTACACATTCCTGCCCCTTGGTATGATCTTATTAAGGGAACAGTTCACCCAAAAATGAAAATGTGCTCACCCTCAGGCCATCCAAGATGTACATGATTTTTTTTTCTTCATCGGATTTAGCATTACATGACTTGTTCACCAATAGATCCACTGCAGTGAATGGGTGCCATCAAAATGAGAGTTCATACAGCTGATAAAACATCACAAAGTAATCCACAGGACTCCGGTCCATTGAATAATGAAATCATGTTTGTAATAAACAATAACTTTAAACCATTGATTCCGGCCAAAATACAAGTCCTCTATTCATAATATTGCTTTCTGCAGTGAAAAAGTTGTCTCGTCTGAAACAGGAGAGAAATATGCTCAGATCAAGCACTGTTTACAAGAGAAAATAGTCCAAAACAGTTCTAAACAAATATGTTGGTCAAAACATTTGTGGATGGGAAGGCGTTATTATGGATTATGGACTTGCATTTGTTTCTTACAAACATGCAGCTTTTCACTTCACAAGATGTTAATCAGTGTACTGGAGTCAAGTGGATTACTTGTGAATTATTGTGATGTTTTTATCAGCTGTTTGGACTTTCACTTTGACGGCACCCATTCAGTACAAAGGATCCATTGGTGAGCAAGTGATGTAATGCTAAATTTCTGTTGAAAAAATAAACTCATCTATATCTTGGATGGCCTGAGGATAAATATATTTTCTCTTTTTTTGTGAACTATTTTAGCTAATATAATAATGCTTTCCACTCCCAATCTATTTAACACATTTTACCATATTTAAATTAATTCCACAGAATTCTGTAAGGTTTTCTTCAACACAAAATATGGCCCTCTAATAACCAACAGCACACTTCCCTTCTCTCACCCCTGCTTAGCCACTCTTGTCCATTATTGTATCAGTTTTAAAACACTTCCACTCCCCTCCAGCTAATGAGCCTGTTCTGTCAGATATGGCGTTCATGTGTGTTGATTGCTCTGGGCTGTGGAGACGAGGGTAAAGTGAGGGCACCAATACGTGAGGTCATGTCACAAATGCACTGTGGTGGAAAGAGGTGTCTGCAGGGCTTGAGAATGTTAGTTTGTATAAGAGAAAGCTATTGTGCTTGTATCTGAGATATGTGTAAGAGCGAGCGCGCGTACGCTTACATACAGCGTAAGGGAACAGATGGCGGCAGAGGAGGCACCAAAGTTTAATCCTATCAGATGGATTCACATTCCACCATCTGCTTAATCCATGCGCAATTTCAGCACCCTGCAAAAGAGTCGTCTTAGGCCAAGATTACCATCACAGATTGCTCCACCGTTCCTCTTCATCTCTCCTGGTTTATCACGCCGCCAAATTGCATTATGCCCAGCAGTCACCCACAGCACAGCTTCGAAGAAGAAAAAAAAAAGGAGCACAGACAAGCTGGGGAAGTCCTCAAGGCCGCAAAGTGGATTACTTCACTTCTGAAAATTACTACATGGCTGGTACACAAAATATATGTGATATTTTGACTGGTCTAAGGAGATTTGCTTTGTATATTTGGGGTTATTGAAATGATTTAAAATCAAGTTCCTTAATCTAAAATATGTAATTCCATACTTAATATGCAATACACCTTCAGGAAAACATTCAACAGGACACTGGAAATATGATATGAATCCTGGAAGACTATAAAGGTTGCAGTTTGGAATATTATTACTTAGCATTTCTATATTTAACATGGATATAAAAAGTCTTAAACTCACCCAAATATGATTACACACTTACAGTATAAAACAGACTTTCTGCTGTTGCTGAATAATAAAAATATATCCTTTTTAATGTGTTTTGTGCAAACAAAATCTATGTCTGACTAATCTAACCCTAATGTATATTATATAATAATCTTACATACTGTATATAGTGATATTTTGTGCAAATTGAGTTAAAATGCTGTTTAGTTATGTTACCCAATATGAGATCCCTCATTATTTTTGTACAAGATAAAGTAAATACAGCTTTTTCTGCTAAATAAATAAAAACACCTTCTATGTACATTTATTACCATTCAAAGTTTGGGGTCAGTAAGATTTTTCTTAATTAATAGTTTCAAAAACTATTTTAAACTATTGTTTCAAAAACTTTTTTTTTTTCATTAAAAATTTTTCACAAACTTTTTCTACAAAAATATTAATCAGCAATATTTACAACATTGATAATAATGAGAAATGTCTATTTATGCTTAAAATCTGCTCAAGGACCATGTGACAATGAAAACTGAAGTGGCTACTGAAAACTTTGCCATCACAGGAATAGAATAAATGTTATACTTTTTTTAACTATAAATGCAGTCTTAGTAAGTATTAAAGAATTCCAAATTTTGGAATGGTAATGTAGCTAGCTTCTATTCATTTGTAGCTTGTAGTGGTGCTAATTGCTTTTTCAAGAGGGTAGCATGATTGCACTATAGCTTCACAAACCACAGTTTAGCTTCCCCAGACTATTTTTCCCCTGCTGTTGAAACTCTCCATCTCCCCTGCTATTATATACGCTAGCTCTTCCCAGGGCATCGCCGGTGGCTGACATACACCAGTTTGAGCAGTGCGAGTGAGGCCTACAGCCTCGTCTCATCTCAGTTCAGGTTCTATCAGCAGCACCGAGCACCTCCTGCACACAGGCCATCTGCCTCCACCGCACGTCTGCCTCAGTTAGGTGCACTATCATATGAGCGTCGAGTGTAGACCCCCACCCTCGCCCAGGGGTCCTGCCTACAGTCAGAGCGGTGTGTAACACTTGTTAAAGGATGTGTGTTCAGTTCCCTATACCAGAGTCACAGTGGACAACAGAGCCACCCGTGATAGACTCTCCGAGTCTCCGAGGACTCTTACTTTTCCTTTTTGTTCTCCCTCATGTCTTTTCCTTCTATTTAAATCCAGCAGCAAATTGGAACAGCAGTAATTAGTCGGTTAAAGCGCCTTCAGTGAGACACCGAGCTTTAGAATCCGGTGCCAAAGTTCAACACGCTGAAATGAAATTTAAACTCATTAAGGTGTTGAATTTTTATGGCTGGCTGCTGTTTTCTCAGAGTGTCCCAGGGCGCCTGGCCTTTTGATCGACTGCTGTAAGGACTCCGGATTTCTCTGTGCCTGGCGAACTCCGGAGCTCATGACATTTGCACGAGTGTCATAAAACAAGCGCTCGCACCTGGCCCCCTCCCTCCTCGCGCTCACATGGGGTCAGTGTAATATTTAATAAAGGTGTGTGTATAATCAAGCGGAATTAGCATTCGTGTTCTCCTTCCACCCCCAGAGGGGAAGGAGGCAGGGGTTGGAGGGAGGAGTGCTGCTATTGTACACTCATCACTGACTGATCTTTTCCAGCCTGAACCTCAGATTTCATTAATTATGTCCATGACTAAAACAAAGGCGGAGGGGAATTATGCCTTTTATAAGCAGAGCACCAGGGGGGCTTTCACTCTGTGTCTTGTCTCCCTGCTGTTTTGCCTGCTCTCAGTTTGGTCAACCGAGTCTGAGCATCTGTGGACCAGAATGCATAAGTTGCATATATCATATAACAGTATCAAAAGAACAAAACATTTAAATAAATGACAGATGAACATGAGTGTGCATGGGGACTACCAGAAATAAGTGGGAAAAGACATGTAGAGAAATCATCAAGCGAAAATATACAAAATATAGACAATGCAGAATAGTGTAGTCTAATCAAAATTCATCATACTAATGCATCACCCTTACAACTATATGGAAATTGTGTAAACATGATTTTACTTATTATTATATGATTGTAATATTAATATTCTGGCTGATGATAATTATTTTCATGATATGATATATACTAATTTGACTAAATAATTTCAAAATAAAACATTAAAAACTAAAATAGCTTTAGTAATATTTTTAAATGCTAAAATTGAGTTTAAGTGTTACAACTTTATATTGTATATATTAATTATTTTTATTATTTTTACATTTAACAATGTAATTAAATATTGTAATATTATAATTTTTTTTACTTTAATTTAATTTAATTTACTGAATTGTTTGTGTTTTAAAAATAAACTAACTAAGTGAGCATTAGATAACAGCAAAGCAATAAAAATTTGAAAATTGGGAAAAATGAGCATGCACAATTACATTTCCAATATTTATATATTAAATTTGTATATAAATTGTATATGTGTAATGTGTGTGTTGTGTGTGTGTATGTATGTATGTATATATATATATATATATATATAAGTGGTTATTTCACTTTAATGGCAACGAAAATAACCTAATTTTAGATGAAAATTTCAGATGGCTTTTGTATCTGAACTCTTTACATATAATATATATATATATATATGTGTGTGTGTGTGTGTGTGTGTGACCCTGGACCACAAAACCATTCATAAGGGTCAATTTTTTTTTTATATCAATATTCATAAAAAATCTGAGAGCTGAATA